AGGCACTTTGGCCATATAAAGGCTTGTGGGGTGATTTTGCTCGTGTTATGTTTCCAGCTGTGGTGAGCTCTGATATTGCTGACATTTTTGTAATGTGGCTCTGGATTTATTCTGAGATTGCTGTCAGAGGAGGCTGAACTCTGATCCCACTGCACCTACTTTGCACAGAGCAGCCAAAACAAAGGTATGCATGCTGGAGTTCCTTGGAAAATTACTTCCTTTTCCTGCTTTTTTATGCACTGAAGTACAAATTGCCCCAGTTGTTGGTGGAGAGGAAGATAACCTGTGGTGCAAATAAGAAATGGTAGTGTTGTGTAAATTAAAGGTACCATTAGGTGAATCCCTATTTAAATCTCATTTTCTGGCAAGTATTCTGTCAATCCTTTATGTTTGTGTGTGGAGAAGTCCCAAAGCCAGGATATTTTTATGAAGGGCTGTGCTGAGTGCATGTGAAGGTGAAGAAGTTCTTCTCAGCCCATTTAACAATTGCAGTGCTCTTGATTGAATGCTAATACAGAATCAAGTGTTTGGGGCAAGAATTCTGTACAACTTCAAATAAACATAAACATTTCTCTCCTGACCTTTTTCTGTTTCATTTATTGCTGAATCAACTGCCAGAGGGCTTGGGAGGGACTGGGGGAAAGCTGGAAACCTGGAGGTCCCTCTGGTGGCTGATTCCTGTAGGAAAAATTTATCTTTTTAAAAGGTACTGTGAATACATTAGTCTAAACATGAGCACGATGAAAGCTGTATAAAATATTCATCTAAAGTAGATTTCTCTTTTTCTACAAGGCAGATTTTGGTGCATCACTGCCCTGTAACCATAAAATTAAATGCTGCTTGTTTCAACCTGGCTTTTTGCTTAGAAAAGTGCTGTGTAGCAGGAGGCAGCTGTGTAATGTAAGGATGTTATTTTGGTGTGAGGAACTGGCTTTTCTTGAAATTGATTGAGTTTTTAAGTGTTAATATTTAAATGAATTCTTAGGGATAGTTGCTGGTTTTGAGGAGGAACTGCTCTGAGTATGACATTCATGGCACTGAGTGGATGAAGATGAAATCTGGCTTTTTCCTTAACCAGCTCAATTTTAGATGTTACTTAATAGCTTTCATTATTAGAGATTATGCTCCATCAGAGTCATTATTTAAGATAGTTTTGCAATAAAGGTGTAGCAGGCTTCACAGGTGTGGCTAGGAATGCTCTGAGTAGAAACACTCACTGCAGTCATGTCTCTCACCACATTGTCTTCAACATTCCCCTTTGTAAATGCAAGCTTCTGTTTGACTCATGTGATGAGTCAAATTTATTTTATTTTATTTTATTTTATTTTATTTTATTTTATTTTATTTTATTTTATTTTATTTTATTTTATTTTATTTTATTCTATTCTATTTTATTTTATTCTATTTTATTCTATTTTATTCTATTATATTCTATTATATTTTATTCTATTTTCCTCATATGCTGCATCATTAAAACAATATCAATATTTGCTCCCTTCTTTATTTTGCTGAAAACTGAGATTGCACTTGGTTCCACAAAACAGAGGCCATTGTGCAGATGGCTAAAGGAACATAAATGTTTTGAGTTGTGCCCTGCAGGACAGATTTTGCAAAGGCTGTACACAGATTTCCAGAGGTACATGTGTGTGGACACAGACATCTTTTGTCACATGCCTTTATTGGCACTGCCACAACTCTCCTAATAAACAACACCACAGTGTTTGGCCAGGCTAGAAGGCTGCCAAATGCAGCACTTGGAGCTGTCTGGCATGAAAATAAAAAGCTGTTTGTACAATTCAGTCCATCTTGTTCATTGAGTCTGAGCTAAATTGTCTGCCTTCATTAATGACCCTCTCTTATTGCCTCCAAATTCAGAAATCTGAGCGATTTTTCCCTAAAGATTTTATGTATTCAGTGTCTTGGCAAGTTTAGATCTAGTGCTTTAAGTCTGGCTTATTTTACTTTGAAGCCTCAGCCTTAAGTTTTCTTAATGCTAATTCACAGGGAATTTTAGCTGTGAGATGTCAGTGTGAAAAGCTGATTTGTAACACAGTTCTGAGATTTTTTTTAACAGGGTAACCTAGGTAAATTGATTAATAATGAGTGAGATTATCCCCATATTGTTCTATATAATAAAAGAAAAAAAATCTCCAAACAACTGTGCCAAATGTGGACTGATTAGGAAGAGATGTAGGTTTTGAGTGTGTTTTCAGTGGAAATTATCAATTTAACCTCAATTATGCCCTGCCTTCCCCTGAATCAGCTCTGTCCTGATTGTTTTTCCTGTAGTTTCAAAAACACTATTCCCTTTGCCAGTTAGGCTCTTCATTAATTTTTCTAGGAGTCTTTTGGGAAACCAGCTTGACTGTGCTGAATGTCCCAAGAAGAATTCAGGTTATGTTGAGTTCTGCTGAGTTTTTAATTTAATTCAGTCCTTTTTACACTTGATTCCATTTCAGATGGAGATGTTCTGTAACTTTTAAACCCTTTATCTGTCTGCATCCATGGTAATTTTCTGTCCTCCTAAATACTGCTTTCTCACTGTTTGGGTTCTTCTAGACTAGTTTTGGTACAGGATCTCTCTTGTAAATTAGCAAATTGCAGTGAAGTACTGAAACCCTTAAAAAACCATTTATTTAGACTTTGGACTGATCCCTGATTTTTGATTTGAGGGTCAGTTTTGTAGTCTAGGATCTTTGCTTGAAGTCCCTGTTTGTCTTGAGAGGGGAATATTTACCACAGGTTTGAAGCTTTAGATTTCAAGTCTAATTTGGTACCTTGCTTTTTGGGATGGGGAAGATGTGGTGGCATTTCTGGTATATTACTGCTTTCTCCTACCCTTTATTGATTCTATTAATAATTTCTTCTCAACCTCTCTTTTACAGATTGAGGAAAGGCCAGAAAAAGACTTTGAGAAGGTAAGAAGGATCTTATCAATTATTCTGACAATAGTGCTTTGTTCAATCTTTTCCATGGGTACAGCTTGCCATGAGTGCACAGAAATCTCCTATAAAATCCATTGTGAGGCAAAAATTGGAATTTCTGGAGCCTTCTGCTGCATTTTTGAAGATGAACTTTTGAGCCCCTGCTTACTCAATGTTAAGTAGCTGACCTCCAACAGCAGTTGGCTGAAACTGCTTTAGGCTAAGCCACACAAACACTGTGTGTGTTTATTAGATCTTAATTATGAGACCTAAGTTATTTATGTAAAAATAAATAAATCATCATAATAAAAGAGGAGGCTGCTGCATTAACCCTGAGTACAGTCAAACAGTTCATGTGGCCACTGCTGCAGAGTAAATAAATATCTGTAAAGGAGAGGAGCTTCCAAAGCTTCCACAAAATGTATTTTTACAATTTTTGAACATGTGTGGCAGGCTGATAGAAGCCCCTAAAGACTTTCTCCAATTAAGAATTAACAGTTAGAAGCTAAACTATGCAAACTCCTATTGCAGTCTTATTTAAATACTTCTGATCTGCTTTTTCTCATTAGTTTCCCTTGTTAAATCTTGATTTAGATTTTTTTTACTTCTTGGAAAGTTTGATTTTAATCAGAAGCGCATCATTTAGAAGTGCAAGGATTGGTATAAAAAAAAGAAAAGGGGAAAGCTACAAACCCATAATTTATGTGGAAAAGAAAGTTCTGAGCAGTTTATGTGTGTGTGATTGTAGGGAGCACGAACTGTCTCAAGTTTGTCAGCAGCTACCTTGGCCTCTCTGGGAGGCACTTCTTCACGGAGAGGCAGTGGGGACACGTCGATCTCAGCTGACACAGAGGCTTCCATCAGGGAAATCAAGGTGAGGAGTGCTCATCCCAGAATAAATCAGGCAATGTCCTTCAGGGGCAGTGAGTGGGCTGCTGGAAGGAGAAGCTGTGCTGGAGATGTGTCTCAGATGGGATCTCCGAGCCTGGAGCAGGGAATGGGAGGAGGGTGGGGATAACACAGAGGAGAGGGCCTGGCACAGAGGGTGATCAGCACTGAAAGGGACAGAGGAGGGCTGGAATTGATGGAGCCTTTGAATCTGGGTCTGCACCTCGTCCTTAACACTGCAGATTCTGTTTTTTCCAGCCAAGAGAATCAGAATTAGCCCAACCCCCTGACCATGAAATCTGGTGGTGTGGTAAGGCCTCAGCTTAGGCTCAGAGCCCTTGAGGAGTGTGGGAGAGGTGTTGGGAGCAGCACCTTGAGCCCTGCTGGTCCCTGCCAGCTGCCCCCTGCCCTTAGGGCTGTCACTGACCTTTGTCACCTCCCTCAGGACATCTATGAGCTAAAGGACCAGATTCAGGATGTAGAAGGCAAATACATGCAGGGGCTGAAAGAGCTGAAGGTACTGAGTGCTGTGTGAGCATTAACCCAGAGCTGCCCCTGCATGCTGTTCTCCTGGGAACTAAACTGGGTGCAGAGTGTCCCAATAACTGTGGCAGACTCTTCTGACTGGGGGGTTGTGGTGGGAAATGCTTCCAAGTGCTCCCTGAAAGGGTCCTGGTTGCTACTTGCACGTTGTCTTTGCTGGTTTGCATTGTTTTTCTAGCAAATTAAAATTATTTGGGGTTTTTTAATATAATTTCCTAATCCAGGAAACTATATAAAATATAAAATATATATAGCAAATTATAAAAAATATATAAAAATTATATAAATAAAATATATAAAAATAAATATATATAAATAAAATGTATATAGCAAATATACTATATAATATAAATAGCAAATTATAAAATATATATATAAATAAAAATATATAAATAAAATACATATAAATAAAATATATAGAAATAAATATATAGAAATAAAAAAATGGTATATAGCAAATATACTATATAATATATATAACAAATTATAAAATATATATAAATGAAAATATATAAATAAAATATATGTAAATAAAAACATATAAATAAATATATATATAAATAAAATGTATATAGCAAATATACTATATAAAACATATATAGCAAATTAAAATTATTTGGGGTTTTTTGTATAGTTTCCTAATCCAGTATTGGGAGATGAACTAGAACTCATCTCCTACAGTACTAAAAACAAATATGAGTTTAGAACCTTGTCTGTTTTTATTTTTATAAGGCCATGTGAAGTGTCATTTTGGTTTCCCCTTAAAAATTCTTGCAACAAAACTCCATTTATCAAAGCCACTTCATTTAACATGAAGAAGGAATTGTGAAGCTCTTACTGCTTCCATGAAGCCATAAATACATTTTGCATAAACAAAATTTTATTTTGTTTATAAATACAACGTAAATATAACAACCAACTTGTACATCCATGTTCCACCCACCTCCTAAGTGAGCAGTGACACAAGCTGTGGCTTTTTGGGAAAGGCAAATAGATAAATTCAACATTTGCCAGCATTAATTGCTGGTTGTGTCATCAGCTCAGTGCTGACAGATGAAGGTGTTGCCATTTTAAGTGAGTTTTATGAAAACAGCAGTAGTTAATCCTTTTTTTGGTTAAATTTTTGTTTTCTTTGTGGTCGCTGAATAGCAGATAAAGCAAAATAATCACACTGCATAGAAATGTTTCAATCCATGTCCCTTTAGGGGTGATTTGGACCTAAGCTGCACTGTTTGATGCTAAGACACCAAAACATGGCATGCTGAAGGAGTGGAGCAGAACTTCCTTAACTTCTTCCTTGCATATGCTTCCTTTCCAGCTCCTTTCTGAGCTTTCCAAATCCTGATGCCTTTCCTGTGCTTGCCATTTCTCATCTGGAGCTGGAAAGTGCCCCAAAACACAGTCAAACATTTGGAACTGGAGAAATTTCTATCCTAAAAGAAAAAAATATCTCATTTGTTAATAGAAATGCCAGTTAAACTGATTTAGATTTTGCCACTGTCATCCTTAGTTCTATTATCAGCTGGAAAAGGAAGTATATGAAATTCACCCCTACTTCAGCTGAAATAATTAAAATTACACAAGTTCCATGAGAAATTGTTTGATCTGTAAAAATGTTGACACGTGTGTCCTCCTTGTTTGCACATTTACACTCCTTTGTTTACATAACTCTTTGTTTATATAACTCTTTTATTTCTTTATGAAAATCAAGTAGTGCATAGTTTGCATAAATGAAAAATTATGCTAATCTTTATTTGTTGTTATAAATGTCTCAGTATCTTGTATTCAGGTCAAGCTGGCAGAAGGGGTTTTCAGGATTCTGGGAATTGTTTCTTAGAGAGTAAATTTGTAAAGAAGGGATGTAATATGGGAAATCACACATCAGATCACAAAAGCTGCACCTTTCTCTGTCACAGTGAATCCCGAGTCAGTATTGAGGATTCCCACATTGCAAGGATCTCTGAAATTACTGGCCGTCAAGCTGCCTGAATTTCAGGCTCAAATCATCCAAAGTGATTTTAATCAAGGCCAGTTCACCTTTAAAAATAAAAAAAACCCCAACTTGCCATCTTGAGCAGCAGCTTAGAGCTGCCAACGTGCAGGGGCAGGGGGAGGAGGGAGAAGGAGGGAGAGCAGGAAGGCAGGAGCTGCAGCAGCAGAGCTCAGGAAGCGCTGGATCCGTGCTGAGGTAAGGCTGCTTGCTTGGCAGCACAACCCTGATGGGGACTGGGCAGGTTTTCCTCACCTTGGGGCAGCTGGGAGCCTCCAGCACAGGATTTGTGCTGCTTTCCATAGGCAAATTTTGGTGCCTTATTTCCTCACTGAAGGTCTTGGTTGGCAAAGTGTCCTCCTCTATTTCTGGCTCTGACCGAGCTGCTTTTTCCCTGCAGGACTCTCTGGCTGAAGTTGAGGAGAAATACAAGAAGGCTATGGTGTCAAATGCTCAGCTGGACAATGAGAAAACCAATTTCATGTACCAGGTGGACACCCTGAAGGATGCACTCCTAGAGTTAGAGGAGCAGCTGGCAGAATCCAGGAGGCAATATGAAGAGAAAAGTAAAGTATGTAAAGAGCTCTGGCATGGGGAAAAAACAGGGAGAGATTTGGAGGGGGGGAGAGATCTTTGGGAGGAGGCAGCTAAATTATTGTTCAATATTTTGCATTACTGATTTAATTAGCATTAAGTGAAATACCAATTTGTTGTGTACTTGTGATCGTACAAATGAGAATTTTCCCTAAGCCATTTCTGAAGAAGGGGAGAAATGTTCTGGCTGGTAAAGGCTATATTGGTATTATCACACCTCCTTTTATATTCCATCTCCAAAGTAAATTCATGGGGTTTGTCCATAGGGACTTCTGGAGCAGTTTTGCACACAAAGGTGTCTCCAGGCAGCCTGTGGGAGGGTTGTGCAGTTCAGTGGTGGTTAAATGTTGAATTAAGTTTTACATTAATTCAGCAGCTGGCAGCGATTTGTTCTTAAATAATAAATCTGGGGCTTATGTTTTCAGAACTGTCTTCTTGTAGTTTGGGGCATTTCACTACACTCCACTTCAAAACACAGTTCCTGAAAGATACTGTGTGGGTTTTTTTCTTTTTATTTAAAAGTCCAGCTAACTTTCAGTTCATGGCCATGTGGGAAGAGTGGGTTAAATTGCCATCCATTCATCTGTGCAGTCTGAAGGACTGGAGTGTAAAAGCTCTTCAGCCTGCTGCTCAGCTTGTGAAATGGGCTAAATGATGTCTGCCACTTCTATATTTGGTGCAATAATAGCATCTTGGAAAAAGGACAAACTCGTTAAAAATTGCACTCTTGTGGGATTGTGATTAGAGGGATATTCATGAATTACATTGCAGTAAGCATTTTCTTTGTGTTTGGGCTTATTTTCCTCTTTTTGATGGGATGCTATTTTTGATTAATATTAATCTTGTGAATGTTTTGTTATTCACAGGAATTTGAGAGGGAGAAACACGCTCATAGCATATTGCAGTTTCAGTTCATGGAAATCAAAGAGGCTTTGAAGCAGAGAGAAGAAATGCTTGCAGTAAGTAACTGGTTTTTTCTTTTAATGGCTTCTTTGATTGGTACATTCCCAAGCAGCAGTAGAGTGGAGAATGTGAGGCATGGAGAATTTTATTCCCTATTCAAGTTTCTCACCAGAAGAAATATTAGTGTTTCAGACCAAACAGGTTCAGAGCTGACTAATGCAAATAGTACTTTCCTAAGTATTACCTTATTCTTCCTAAGTATTGCATTTTGGACAGCTGTTTGTGGAGTTGCAGAGGAAAATAACAGAACTGGAAAATACAAGAACAGTAACTTGTTTTAAGTGATGTTGTGGATAACAAGATTGTCTTCAGGAGCACAGGTTCAGTTGGGATGTCAGGAACTGTGCATTGAAGTTACTCAATTACTTTAGCACCTGACTTTTTTCATTCTTTGGCATCACTGCAATCTTGGCCTTCCTTGTTAACCTGTTACCTGCTTTCTGTCTTCTTGTTTTGCTCCTGCCCCTCAGGAAATCCAACAGCTGCAACAGAAACAGCAGAGCTATGTCAGGGAAATTTCTGATCTCCAGGAGACAATAGAGTGGAAAGACAAAAAAATAGGGGTAGGACTTGTCAACTCCTCCAATGTGTTCAAAGTGACACTGATCCTGCTTTTGTAAAACCCCTCTGTAGTGCCTTTGCTTGCTGTGGCTGTCCTATGGTGTTGCCAGTGAAGTAGCAAATAGCAAGTGTTGTCTTTGGCCAGTAGTACCTTAAAATCCAAGGAAAACCTAGCAGCTGCTCTGCTTTCAAACCAAGGGCAATTGATTTGCTGTGCTGCACCATTTGCATTTGCCATATGGGGAAAGGAAGTGCTATTTATAATGCAATTCCATCAGCACTGAGTTTTCTCTTGTTCGGATTCAATCTGCAGACTGAGCAGAAACTGGAGTGGGATAAAGAGGTAATGGAGCTATTTATAGGAGGTTGGGATGAAAGTCTCCCTTGCTTCTCATCCCTTCCCACCACCTCTTATCAAAGCCACATGGAAAGCCACTCTGGTTTTCTTTTCCAGCTGAACACTGAAAGGCTTCCTGAAGAAAGTAGGAGAAAGAAATCTGGCAGCTTGCCCATGTTTGTGATGTCCAATATTTTGTAGCAGCTTGAAACTGAAAATTGCCTATTTTTTTTTAAATTGATCTATTTGTACTTAGATAGAAATACTGGGAGGGGGAAGTTCAGTAGCAAAATATGCATTTGCACATGGTGCATCCCAGACTAAGGATGGCTTAATGGCAGCTTTCAAATTAATTCAAATGTAAAATAAAAAGACTCCTGAAATCCAGTGGGCCTATTTCCATGCCCTTCCATTAACACGTGGGAATGACATGGATTCCTCAGTGTGCATGCTGAAGCAGTGTGGGTTTGGATCAGCTTGTCTAGCAGATAAGAATAAAAAGTGGACCTTCATTTGAAGGGTCCCCAGTGAAGAATTGGGCTCTGAATGTCTTTGGCAGGAATTCTTGGTTACTGAGGAAGCTTTCTTGGATTTGAGGTTTCTCTCTCTGTATGCAAACTCAGTCCTATAATCTGTAAACTCAACCTTTTTCATCTGTGTCCCTTCCATCCCCTGAATATCTTAAATCTGCTCATTCTTGTCTACATTTGTTTACATGGCCTTTACTTGTCTCCATTCCTTTCTTCACATCTGCTCTGTCTGTGTTGGGAACTCAGGCACTAGAGAGGCAGAAAGATTTCTTTGATTCCATAAGGAGTGAGCGGGATGACCTTAGAGACGAAGTGCTTGTGCTGAAGGAGCAACTGAAGGTATGCAAGAGGAATAAAATAAATTTATATTCACCTGCTGACCCTTTTTCCCTGTACATTTGGGCAGAAATATTAGATCTAGCTCAGTAGCAGTAACTCAATTTTCATGTTGCCTATAAATTGCCATTTCAGGGATTTTCTATATGAAGTCCTTTCCCCTGCTATTGATTGTGAGTTCTCAGTGTAGACTGGAGTATAAAGTTGTTTTTGTAGGAGTCACTTCTCTGAGGAACATCTTATGCAGCAGATTTATGTTAAAAATAATTAAAAAAAAGAGATGGGGTCACATGCTTTCTGTCAGAATGGCTGAACTGAGAACTGCAATATCTGTTCTCCTTCCTGACCCCCGGCCACGTTTAATGGAATGATTGAAACAATTGTTTATTCAGAGTATCTTGGACAAGAGCACTTGACAGTCCTTCCCTTGCTGAGCAGCAGGCTCTAAAGCTTTGCTTTTGCTTCCCACAGAAACATGGAATAATCCCAGACTCTGATGTAGCCACCAACGGGGACACATCAGACATCCTGGATAACGAAGGACACTTGGATTCTCCCCGAAGTGCCCCAGGCACCACTCAGGCATTAAAGACAGGAGGGGAGGGCATGCTAGGTAAGTGCTGTGTGTCCTCTCAGCCCCTGCTGCCTGTCTGTCCTTCATTCACCCACCTCTGCTTGGATGGGGCAGTTGTTAGTGGGACAATTAACAGCACGCAGCATGCTCCTTGTCCAGTCACTCCCTGTGCATTTCCCTGCTTCCTTCGTGTTGATTAGCACTCCCAAGTGTGTCCTGCAGCCTCCTCCAGCAGCAGACTTCACCTCCCCTGCAAGGTGACACAGGATGGGAATGCAAATAGGACATTACAGATAAGCAGCAGTCATTCACATTGCCATTTACACTCTGAATTGGAAAATTGTCCCTGGATAATCCTGCTGCTGCTCAGTGTTTCTCAGCACATGCCTTAAATATTCAGGGAAAAAGGCATTTTAGTTTCCTATCAAGAGCTTGTATGTTGGTTCATTGATGTCCCTGAGAACTGTGTCTGCTTGAACAACAGTGCTGGGCTCTGCCAAAGCACACCAAAGGATAAATTCTTTGCTCTTGTGCTATTGAACACTTAAAATTAACACTTCTGTGTTTTTACTTGTTACATTGACACTTCAGTTACATCCTTTGAATTTGACAGCGTTAGGAAGGAGAAATCTGGTTGGCAAAACCTCTTTATGCTTTTATGTGTTGAACTTATTAAAGAACTATTGTACTAGTGTAAGGAAATAAAGTAATATTTTTGCTTTGTTGGATTTTTTTTTTTGTTCTAAATGAACATACTAATAAATAGCTGCAGGCAGCCAATTGTTGCAAGTGCAGGTTCTCTTGCTTTGAGCTTTTGGCTGCTTTTTCCTCACTCAGTTTCTGTGTGGAAACAATGTGGAACACCAAAAACCAAGGTAAGGGTGTATTTTTAAATGTAATATGTTTTCTACATCTCTTAATCCTGGGGTTTCTTTTTTCAGAATAGGTACAGCATAGACCCAAAAACTAACAACACTATTGTTTTAATATCTGTTGCTTTTAAATATAAATTGAAGGAAAAGTGTTACAACAAAAATAACCTTCAAAAAACCACAGAAGTCCCCACCCCTTTGGGTGGGTGAAATAAGGGGCTCAGGTTACCTGAGCTTTGATCTGTGCTGGGAGGTCTGAACAGCCAAACTATTCCCTTGCCAATCAGATTTTACATTCAGTGTCTGTCATCAGGCACTGATCATGCCTGTCTTGAGATTTTAAAAGCAAAATATTACTGAATATTCCTTCATGATTCCATTGTAATGGCATCAGACTCCTGCACGGATAGAGGGGTGTCAGGGTTAAGGCTGCAGAGAAAATTGCTGAGGAAGAGCAGTCCTTAGAGGTACATCTGCAGGTGTTGCTATTAAATGGCACTGCTTCAACCAGCTGATCTCCTCTGCCAGAGCTGTCATCCCCACAGCCAGGAGCAAAAATCTCCTCCCTTACAAAACACGAGCCAGCACCTGAGAGTTCTTGCTTTGAGAGGGTGGTGGTGAGTTTCACTGATCAAACCCCCTGGATCCTTACTAATTCAATTGCTGCTTTGCCTCACAAAATTGGCAAAAGCTGATCTTTTATTAACCTGCTCTTCTCATTCTGTCTTTTGGGTTTTGAGTGGGGAGGTAAGTGCTGTGGTGTGGCCCCCTCAACTTTCTCAATGGTCTTTTAGGCAAAGCCAAGGAAGTGGAGATGAAAAATGAGATTTTGGAGGATGTGGGGAAAAGAGAAATCTTGCAGAATACTGAGCATGAGGAACACAAAGAGGAGTCTGAGGAGGAAGTACAGACATTGCATGCTGTTGAAAACGCAAAGGCAGAACAAATGGTTGAAATACGGCACACCCTGCCTGCAGTGATGTTACCAGAGAGTAGGTTTGCAGAGCAAGCCCAAAGCCTCCCAGAACCTGTGTCAGGGAGCACTCCTTCAAACAGTGACAGTGACACAGATGGCTTGAGAAAGGTCACAGAGCCCAGGGGCACAGCAGCCCAGCAGCCTGAGAGTGCACAGGCTGAACACCATGACTTGAGTGCAAGGACAAATGAGAACCTGGAGCTGGGCTCTCTGCAAGGCCACCCGATTTTTGAGACTCCTCAGGAAATGTTCTGTGACTCAGGCACAGAGCAGCAGCTGGGAGAAGCTGCACCCAACCAGGAAGAGCAAGAGGATCTTGAAACCAGCCATGCCCTGAGTGATGATGAAATGGATGAAGGGTCTGACACCACAAGTGAGGGCAGTGAGTTGGTTTCCAACCAGGCAGGGCTACCTGAGGGAGCAGTGGCAGGCTTGCTTAGGGAAGAGGGAAATGTGGAGAGTTCCACTCCAGAGGAACCCCAGCACTCAGAAGAAAGTGCTGAAAACAAGGTTGCAAATGTCTTGGAGGAAAAGTTTGTTGACTGCACTGATGGGAGAAGTGATAAAACAGCAGGTGACAGAGCTGAAGAAGAAGATGAGGTTGGGAACACAGTTCAGGGTCAGATGGAGGGGACAGAGCCATGTGAAAGGGATGTCCCAGCAGAGCCGCTTGGAAAGGAAGGTGGAGAACATCAGGTATTGATCCAACCAGATTCTTCACAGGACAGTGCTTCAGCATCCCCAGAGGAACCAGGTACACAAGGTAAAAGTGAAGAGGAAACTGCTACAGCTGAGAAGGATGGACAGAAGGAAGAGCTGATGGAAGAGCTGGAGGAGTGTTCAGGTTCTGCTGGAACAGGCAGGCAAGGTGTGGTGTCTGTGGAGGCAGCAGGCTCCATTCCTGAGGGAAAGGGAGGTGAGCTGCAGCAGGCACAGCCAGGAACAGAGGTTGGGGCGATCACTCAGGAAGCCCATTCAGACCCAAGTCTTTTAGATGATAAAGTTAAGGAGTCAGAATTGGAAACAGGAGATGAGGCTGGCGAAGGACAGGAAAGTAGGACAGAATGGGTAGAAGATCTGAATCCAAAGGCTGAGGTTCAAACAAGTCGGGGTAGTGAAGAAACAGCAGAAGGTACAGAGGGAGAGAAAAATGTTCCTTCAGAGGGTGAAGAGCAGGAGGTGGTTCAACAAGTAGAAGGTGAATCTAAAGAGGAGTCAGGTGTAGGTGTTACTGTAACTACTGAAAACAAAGCCAGTAAAGAAACTCTGAAAGAAAACGAGCAAGAGGTAGAGCTTGCACACCACCCTGGTGGGGAATCTGCTTCTGAGGAAGGTGCAAATGATGCCCTGCAACAGAAACCTGTGCAGGATGAAAACATTGGTGAACAGGTTAAGTTGGAGGAAGGGGCAGATAATTCCCTGGCACAGAAACTTGTGCAGAACGAAAACATTGGCGAACAAGTTAAACTGGAGGAAGGTGCAAATAATTCCCTGCCCCAGGAAGCTGTGCAGGATGAAAAGATTAGTGAACAAGTTAAATTGGAGGAAGGTGTAAATGATTCCCTAGAACAGAAAGCTGTGCAGGATGAAAACACTAATGAACAGGTTAAATTGCAGGAAAGGGCAAATAATTCCCTGCCCCAGAAAGCTGTGCAGGATGAAAAGATTAGTGAACAAGTCAAACTGGAGGAAGGTGCAAATGATTCCCTGGAACAGAAAGCTGTGCAGGATGAAAATATTAGTGAACAAGTTAAACTGGAGGAAAGTGCAAATAATGCCCTGGAACAGAAACCTGTGCAGAATGAAAACATTGGTGAACAAGTAAAACTGGAGGAAGGTGTAATTACTTCCCTGCCAGAGGAAGTTGTGCAGATTGAGAACATTAGTGAACAAGTTAAATTGGAGGAAGGTGCAAATGTTTCCCTGGCACAGAAGCCTGTGCAGGATGAAGACATTAGTGAACAAGTAAAAGTGCAGGAAGGTGCAAATAATTCCCTGCCACAGAAACCTGGGCAGGATGAAAACATTAGTGAACAAGTAAAACTGGAGGAAGGTGCAAATGATTCCCTGGCACAGAAACCTGTGCTGGATGACATTAGTGAACAAGTGAAATTGGAGGAAGAAGTAAATGATTCCCTGCCACAGAAACCTGTGCTGGATGACATTAGTGAACAAGTGAAATTGGAGGACCAAGCAGAGGAAAGCCTGGAAGATGATGGTGATGCATTTGATTTTGATGAAGAGTCAAATCAAATACTAGAATCTGATGGAAAATGTGATGGAGAGAAAGCTGATGCACAGGGAGAAGAGGGTGATGGAGCAAATGGTGCTGTTGGAAAAACTGCCCACACAGACAAAGCTGGAGAGGGAAGAGACAAAATGGAAACCAAAGATGCCTTGACCAAAGGTGGTGAAGCCCTGCAGCATAAGAAAGATGAGCCTGAAGAAACAGGGTGCTTGCAAGGGGAAGCATTGGGGAAAGCTGATGAGGAGGAAGATGAAATCAAAGTATCAGATTCTAGTAAAGTGGGAAAATTCCAGGATCGAGATGTTTTGGAACAGGATTTGGAAAGTGCTTTCATTAAGAGGGCTGAAAGCAGGGAGGATCTGCAGGTTGGTAAAAGGAGTAAGGGCAGGTCCAGAGATGACTGTACAATCTCCTGAGCTCAGAATCTCAAACCTGCACGAGTTCCATGCTCTGTGAGCAGTCCCAGGACACAAACATGCACTTTGCACAAGACATCAGACCTTGGAATACTCTTAGAGCTTTGCCTTTGTAGGTAACTCAGCATAAAGCACGGATGTGGTAACGATGCAAGTTTTAAGTTATTCACTGTTGTATACCCACCACAAGAAATTGTAAGTGGGTTTGGTTTTGCTGTGTCTCAGGTGGAAAGCTTATCACCTGATGAGGAAGCTTCACAACTTGACTATTGAAATTATTTTATGCAATTAAAGTACCTCTAGTGTGGATAGCTGCTCCTGGGGAATTTCTATAGGAATTTTTTTATTCTAGCCTAGTTGATCAATATCATGAATGTATATTGGGCCTTTGTGAATTTATGCACATTATGCTTACTTGTACTTAGATCTACAACAAGTATATGAACTCTTGATGAAGGAACTCAGCAGATCAGCCATCACTGATGGTGAAACTTCTTTCAGAATGCTTAAAGCCTATGAACCAATCTCTTGATTTTTTTTTTTAATATGAAGAAAAAAAGATCTTTTCATTCCACCTTGTGTGTATTTCTTATATGGTCACATTCCAAAATATAGTTCGATCACTGTGAATCTGCTTAGTCTGAGCACTTTGGAAAAGCAATTCACAGTTTGGAGAAAGTGCAAGAAGCAGGTCTTAGTTTGATGAAAGGAATAAATATCTACATGTTTACTTCATTTAGGCACTTTGCACCACAATAGGCCTTTTACACCATGTCTCACATGGGGTTTTTATTTTTTTCCAGAGAAAGTGTCAATACACACTGTAATGTGTGCTTAGGTTTGCTATCAAGTACTGTCTAGATATGAATATATAAAAAATATCTATTTTTCCAAGAAGATTTTTGTTTAAAATTGCATTTGCTTGCTGCATTATATATATATTTTTTTTTGCAAACTCTGATTCTGAAACAATGTTTTTATCTCTGAAACAAATCTTATCTCTTTCCTTCTGGAAAGAAGATAACTTTGCATGTCTTAACTCTTGCTGGATATCAGACCAAAGATGACTGTTGTTTTGTGTACTAGCCCCCTGGTGCCTTTTGGAAAAGCTGGGTTGCTTTGAATTGCTGGCATAAATTAAGCTTGTGGAATCCCTTGCTGTATTTCCTCTTGCATCTCTGCTAGTGCTTGGGAGGAAGAGCATGTTTTGCATATATAAATATTCATTTAAGTGTTAAGCAATGAATGTCCCAAGGGAATGCAGACCGAAGGGGGTGTGGGCTGTGGAAGGTTGTATTTGTGTTGATGTTACAAAGTTGTCCGAGCACAGACAGACTGCAAGATTTGAACTTGTATATCCAAATGTACTGCTGTATATAATTTAAATAAACATATTTTATACTTTAAAGCACCTGTCCAGAGCACTGTTTCTAAACCTGCACGAGGAGTTATTTAAACCTGTGTCATTTCAACACCATTTTTCTGCAGCTTTTGTTCAGTTTATTGCCTTGTGCCACGTAGCTACAGGAGCCATCTCCCTAGGACTGGGCAGCCTCGGGGTTTGAGCACCTTGAATATGTGATGGCACCTTAACTGTAGAGCTCTAACAGGTCTGTAACGCTGTAACTCCTTTCATGTGGCTTCTCTGCAACTTACAGCAGATCCACCGTGGTTCCTGTGAGTATTGGCAGTTGTTCCTAAGGGTTTGCACTAGATGCTAATCCAAAAAGTCATAGATCTTATAAGCATTTCTTATTAGCATGTAGCAGTGTTTATTTAAAGATTTAGCTCTGAGTAGTTCGTGTAATATTCTAAATAGTTCATTGAATAATAAATAAATTCAGTGAAAAGCGGTGTTTATTTAAAGATTTGGCTCTGCCATACTCTCAACAGTAATATATGGTTTAATGTTGGAAGTGGGTTTTAATTGTTAAATAGATTTCAACAGATCATTAAATGTTCTTACCTGGCTTCACCTCTACTGTGGATGGATCTATCAGAGTTAAATTAGGCATTATATCCTGTATTTCTTATGAGTGCATTTCTGATTTTAACTAGTTTTTCCACTTCAGAAAACACAGCGTCTTTAAGAGAATTCCTTTTTAAAGCCAAGTCACAGGAGCAGAAACACCTCCAGTCTTACCTGTCCAAGTACCAGCTTTGATCCCACTCCCAGTGTAACTGGGAGCAAGAACATGGAGAGGCTGTACAGAGTAGCTGCTGTGCCAGAAATCCATCCTGGAATGTTGAAAATGAGTGTGTGTGTGATCCAAGTACGAAACTTTTGTCTTCCGGAATAACCCCAAATGCTCACTGGGTTTTCTGGGCATCACCTAGTGGCACTTAAATGCTGTAGCCCAGGTTTGTGTATATCAGAGCTAGCCTGAAATGCTTTCAAAAGCAATATCTCAAGAAACTTACTTTGATAAAATAGGGGAATAAATTGTGAAAAGGTCTTAGTCAATATCTTCTTTACTATAGAGAAGAACAGTCCTCCTGTCCCCCTCAAAATCAGTACTGCAAGCCAGTGCTTCCAAATCCTGTGCTGTCCCTGGCAGTGCCCCTCTTCTGAGAAAGACAGAAAAGCATTTTCTTATCTTCCAAAATAAAGTGACAAATCTGGAGAGGGAGTGTGGTGGTGTTCACAGGACAAGGGAAGAGATGAGAATCTTGACTCCATGTTTCAGAAGGCCGGTTTATTATTTTATGATATATATTATATTAAAAGAAATTTATATAGTAAAAGAATAGAAAAAAGGATTTCATCAGAAGGCTAGCAAGGAATAGAAAGGAATGGAATGACAATAAAATCTTGTGACTGACCAGAGAGTCCGAGACAGCTGAGCTGTGATTGGCCATTAATTAAAAACAACCACATGAGACCAATCACAGACCCACCTGTTGCATTCCACAGCAGCAGATAACCAATGTTTACATTTCATTTCTGAGGCCTCTCAGCTTCTCAGGAGGAAAATCCTAGCAAAAGAATTTTTCATAAAAGATGTCTGTGACAAGGGAGTTTTGCCCAAGCTGCTCTGAGAGCTGGATTCCTGCAGGCTGTTCTGAGTAGCTGCTTGGGGCTGGGATTCCATGGGATGTCTTTCCACTCTCCAAGAGCAGTTTATCCTTTTTATTTACATCAGGGTTTGTTACTTCCTGGGCCACACATCATGTAAATCCTGCAGGTAAAACCAGCTGCTTCCCATCCCATGCTCCCCTCCAAGTGGAAAGAGCCATGGAGGCTCTGTGGCTGATTTGGGAATGTTTGGAGCAGCACCTGAGCGAGCAGTGCCTCGAGTCAGCTGCAGTGCCAAGGCAGTGAGATCAGTCCCTGCATGTGAAAGTGTGGCACAAGGCACTGGTCAGCACCATGCTCACCCTCTTGTGTCCTGCTCCCTCACAGGCCCCATCTCCTCCTCAGCCCTCTGTTAAACTCTGGTGTGGGAAGGCCATGAACTGGTGCAGTGAGTACCCTGGGAATCACCTTTCCAGAGTTAACTGAGGTGAATGGCACGCTCTCATTATTCACTGTGGTGTCTTTCTATGTGGAATAAGGATAATGACTGTTACAGATGAGAATTTTAATTAGCTGCTTCCTGTCCTGATTCAATAAGCTGTTCTTTCCTGCTCATCTGTTCTCAAGGTCCTCAGATTTGTTGGAAAAATATCTCCTAAATGCAAAATTAAGGTGACCCTGCAGAGCAAGTTTCTGTGTTAATGTGGGGGTTTAAGATAAGTGAAACCCAAGAGAACCTCATGTCTACAGGCAGAGAACTTTTCTTCTATATGAATGGCAATTTTAGCAAACTCATTTGTTCCCTGACTTGGTAAACCCTGCTGTCTGCATGTCCCAATGGGGTGCACAGATATCCATAATGAGGGCAGGGAGAACTGGAGGTGAACCAAACTTGAAGGTTCACCCCAAAATGCATCCTCTTTGCAGGAAAGGGGCTTTGGGGGAGCCAGTGTGCTTCCTCAGTGGAAGCTGGCACAGGTGTCCTTTCTTCAGGCAGGCAGGTTTCACCCCACAGCAGGGCTTGTGTTCATGAAAGTCACAACGACGTTGTTTTCAGATCAAAATTGTTACTTGGCCCTTTTGGAGTCAGTTGGTTTGGGCTAATTTTGAAGCAGCCTAAAGGTTTCCTGCTGCACCAGTCGTATTCTCTTCCCAGTCCTTGGAACTCCATTTCTCAGTCTTTGCTGGCCTCTATATCCCAACACAATCTCTTGAGCCCAAGCTTCTCCAGCCTATGTGCTGTTCTTGCTTTCTTCATTGACCTTTATTTTTCTGCCATATCTTCCATCTTTTGCAGAATTTGTCTTAAGTTTTCTTTCCTTCCCATATAGATCTGTGAAATTGTTTTATCATTTTAAAGGGTTTTATATTCGGAAATTTTGTTTGTGGGTGGTATTTACAAAATAATTTGGTTTGGGTTGTTTTTTTTTTTATTTTCATATCAGTGCTCAGGTGTAGCAATGTTACAAATGGATGAAAAAAAAAGAATAGGACTTCAGGAAGTTCAAAATGAATCCATAGATCTGCTGAACTGAGATGTTATGCTAAGATCTGTGTTTGAGTATTGCATCAAAAGCCAAGGTAAAGATTTTATTCCATGCTCTGGAATGGGACAGTGTGGGGGTGTGTATTCCCAGCAGGGGAATGACATACCACACTAATGGACTCCTCATGTCTGTTGTACAGAGGGACTTCCATTGGGAGAACAGTTTTCACCATGATTTGACTCAATACAGACTTTTGGTTTCCTTTAAGTGCATGTTCTAACAAGAAAAATGGAGAACCACAAGACTTTGGCCTGTTCAGGAGTTGTCAACAAAGAAGAAATGGTATTTTTAAAGCTCTTAAAAATATTTAAGTCTGTCTATCAACAGAATTTGTGGGGTAAAAGCCCACCAGGTTCTTATGTGTAATTTACCTTGCTTTCCTAAAGTTTACAGAAAGATATTTCTCTTGAGTGACCTGTGGCTTTAAACCATTTAATCAGCAGGCCAGACCTCAGTTGTGGAGCTGAGCTCTGAACAGCCTGAGCTCTGCACTGCTGGCAAGGGAGGCCAGCTGAACAAACCTGCAGTGAGACCCAGCTGAGGTCAACAGATCCTCTCCTAATGAGTGTATTTCCATGTGGTGTTGCAGTGCACTCCTGCCTGAGGTGTACCTGAACAAACTGAGCTTGTTAATTATTCATTTAGGTGGTAAGAAAATGTGCTTTCACATTTTGCAGCCCTTAATGGGGACAGAAAAAAATGAAGTGATTTGTTTGCTTGCTTTGTAGTTCTTTTTTCCAGCTGTCTCATTCTGTAGAGTGCACTTTATTAACGAAGGCTGCACATACCCACGTGCTGATCTGCAGCACTTCCAAGTCCAAATGTAGCACAACAGTTGGTGCAGGTTGTCCATTGGCTCTTGACGTTTGACCTGGAGAATTGACTCTGAAGAGAAAACAGAGTTTTACCAAACTGCTGCATTCGAAACACAAATCATTTGATGAGCAAATGGTTTTTTTCTGGTCATAATATTGGGGCTAAAATGTCACTGCCATGTGAAAGAAGGGAAGAGTTAAAGTGCTGAGAATGTAATTACATGTGTTTACAGTATTGTCATTGTGTTAAACTGTCCAGACCTGTGAGATTTTTTGTTGCAGTTGTGCTTGACCCTAGAGTTCTTGCATGCTAACCTAACGTAGAAGATTAGCCTCTTTGCATGCAGCTGGCTGCTGCTACTGCTGGGACAAGCATGTTGTGTGAGAATGCCCTAAGTGCCCTGGCTGCAGCCCCCTGCCAGCCCTGCTGGGCCTCGTGTGCTGTGGTACGTGCCCTAACTCCCCATCAGTAGTCACTAACCTGAGCGGGCCAGCCTCGTGTCTCAGATGTGCTCCCGACGCGCCGCCGCTCGGTCAGCACTGAACTCTGCCTTTTCTCTTCCAGACAGGCTGAAAAGGCTCATTGATGAACGGGAGTCCTTGCTAGACCAGGTAACTACAGGGCAAGGGAGGGATTAAGGAAACAAAACCAGCCCAAACCCAACGTATAGATCAGCAGCACTGTGGTCTGGTTGCTCTTGCTGCCCACTCTGTTCTTCCTCCAAAACATTCCTCCCCTGTGTTAACTCAGGATACATGGTTCTCAGTAGTAGTCCTTCAATAGTCCTTGGCCATGGCTCAGAAATTGTAGAAGCAAATTTTCTCTCCAAGAGTAAGCCCTCCCCTCTGCTGGGTCTGTGGGTGAATGGGCCTTTTGGAAAGGTTTGGTGGAGGAACTGCAGATGGGTAAAGAGCAATTAAAGGAATTATTGCCATGGTATTCTGTGACGGAGTTCACAGGGGTCTTAGGATGAGGGAAGAGACGAGGATCTGACTCCATGTTTCAGAAGGCTGATTTATTATTATATATA